TTATCAAATACATATATTAAACATGACTGTCCTGTTGCGGTATCATTAGAGCAAAACGCACATGTTGTGTTTATTAGATTGACAAAAACAAAATTTAAGCCTTAACTAGAAGCCTGTTGAGTTTTTCTTAAAATGTATGAAATATGGCGGAGTCTTAAGCATACTGCATATTATGTGAAGTATATATACAACCTTTGACATTCTTGTCATTTTAAAGTTTTCCTCTACTTTATTGTATTGGCACGATTTGGCCTTTTTTCTAAATATGTAGCTTTGATCTTTCAGATTTTCTAATAATTGCCCAAATGACAATTGTAGAGAGACACTTAATACAAAAATGTGCCTGGATGACATCCTAGGTTCCTTCAGTAAAGCATGAAAAGCAAACTCAGACAGTATCAACCTCAATATTAACCCCACAGACACGTGAAGTGAATAATGTTATCACATTATAATGCAACGTCCTGCTTGCTGCTGATGTGAATGTTGCTTTGTATATGTCACTAATGTTGTAAACCAGTAACACCCACCCATGGCACCCTCTGACATCAGTGGCCAGGTTACTGTGCTCTGTCACACCATAAAAACTGCTCTGAAGCAGACCGAGCACCAGCATTCAAACCACTGTGGGTGATCAAGCGATACACTGGAACAAGTTCAATCCAGTGAGGCCCATTAAAGGTCACGGCTGCTTTGGTAGCATGAGGATGGACCACACAATCTTAAACAAGTGGTTTGGTTGTTGCTGTTGCTGTTGTTGTGGCTCATCTTTGTATTTTATGCTGAAGAATTTATAATGCAGCCTTTTTTTTTTCATACATCTGTTCATCGATTTGTCCGTTAGTTCTGTTTTTCTCTCTCTCTGAGCCTGATGAATTTTGGAGTCACTCCCAGAACAGCAGGCAAATGACTATCGAGGCTATTCTGTCACAAGGCAGAACAGACAGTAAACAAGCACATACAAATACACATTCACCAGCTGTACAGGAGCATGCCAAATACATATCAACCTGTCACAATGATTAGTGCAAATATTTTCATGCTTTCCCTGATTGCTGGCTTAATTGATAATTTTGACTATTTTAAAATAAATAGACACTGATTTCTCTATCATATTAAAGTAAACAAATAAATAAAAATGAAATTAAAGCCCTACCGTTGGCACCGAGCAACTATGACTACATGATGTTTCATCAAATCTACAAGAGTAATTAACAGTGAGGGTAATTATTGTGAATCAATAGGTCCCGCCTAGTGGCTGTATTTAAATCACTGTACAAGTGCATTAATTGCCAGCTTGCGGTTGAATCACATTGAGTGGGGACAGACTGGTGAATCACTTCTATTGACATCGGAATTTTTTTTTTATACTAACTGTAGCTTCATTAATAAATACGAATCTGAGAGGCGTAAAATCAAGCTTTTACAATAAAATACAAAGGTTTCTTACAGATACAGTCACGGCAAAACAAAAGTAAACTCTCATCTTGTCCTTATCTGGGTTTAAAGTTAGGTCGAGACACCTCAGATGAATTACAAAACATGCCATATTGCACATATTATTGATTTTGCAAAAACTGAACTAAAATGCAGAAGCTGTGTGTGGAAAACCAAGTATGTACTTACTACTTAAGAGGGTAAGTAGCACCCAGATGCTGTTCATCAAATACACTTCACTGATCTTCAGAACATGTAAGCAGAAAAACGGTGTACTACGGGCAAATGTATAGATGTACTGATGTATACAGATAAGGGTAGTATAAAAGTTCTGCAACAATGAACTTTCTACAGATGAGTCCAAAGTAGATATGTTGGCCACAAAAAACACCAAGTTTGGAAAAAAACAAAACAAAACAAACACAGCGTGTCAGCACAAACACCTCACACCAACTGTCAA